CTCTGAAAAAATAATGCTTGGTGAATAATTTGTGAATATTACTTAGACATCTCTTTATTCATATATATTGCTAAAACAATAGCTATATAACTAGAAATAATTTTAGAAAAATGCTCAATATGTAATTTAAAAATAAAAATATTATTTTTTTAATGAAACCCAAGAAATAATATTTGAAAGAGTTGCTAAACTTCAGGTATATCTTTCTTCACTCATAAAAATTTGGGGGATAAATTTTAAAATTGATGTGTCATGCCATACAGTAAAGTTTAACAAAATTTTACAAGTAAATATGCTTTTTATTGACAATAGACATTATAATAAAGCTCAGTGCATATTTATAAACAAATATACCCATATAAATATAATCCAGATCAAAATTTAGAACATCTCCAGCCTCCCAGTCAGTATTGTGCTCCCATAGGTAACCCATCATTCTGACTTCTAGCACCAAAATTTGTTTTGCTTGTTTTTGAACTTCAAATAAATGAAATTGGACAGTATACATTCCTTTGTGTCTGTGTTCTTTTGCATACCATTAGCATCTCTGAGACCCATTCGCACTGTTGAATGTAGAAATAATTTAGTCTTTTTCATTACTCTACACATTCTATTGCATAACATACTATAATTAATTTATTCATCTTACTGCTGATAGACATTGGGGCTGTTCCTAGTTTTTGCCTCTTATAGATAAAGCTGCTTCAAACATTATTTTATGTTGTTTGGTACACATATACACTCATTTTGTTGGGCATATACATAAGAGTGGAATTGCTGGATTGTAAGGCCTACATATGTCCAACTTTAACAGATACTACCAAAGAGTTTTACAAAGTCACCGTACTGCCATACATTTCCATTAGCAGAGTGAGTTTTGGTTGTTCCACAACTTTACCAACATTTGGTAATTTAAAGAAGGCATCCTGATAATTTGTAATGTTATGACATTTTGGCTTCATTTCTATAAACAAAGTTGTTGGACACCTTTTCATATGCTTATTTGTTATTTGGATGCCATATTTTTAGTGTCTATTGAAGCCTTTTGCACAGTTTAAGAAAATTGTTGTTTTTCTTTATTTCTTTTTTAAGATTTATGTATTCTGAATATAAGTTCTTTGACAGAGTTGAATTCAAATGTCTTTTTCATATAACCTTTTGAAATATCACCTTCATACAATTTTGAAGAAACCTGATATTTTTCTAACCCATTTACAATTAAGAAAGATACAGCTAGCAGGGTAAAATGATTTGTTTAGGGTGCTAAAGTAGGTTACAAATAAGAGCCAGCGTTATTTGGTCTCAAAGTTTTTGAAAATTTTAATACTTTGCTTTTCCTAAGCAATTAAAAGTAAATAATCAAAACACAAAGTTTTCACAATAAAAGCTAGCCTTAAGTTTACAGATCTATTTCTTTTAATACATTAGTTTGGATCTTAAGGGTCTCATCAAACTTATTTTTAATGCTCTTACAGTGAAAGCAGAGAGATCTTATGTTTTCTTAAGGAATAAAAATATAATCCAAGAAATAGTTCTTAAATCTCATTTACTTAATAAGCTGCATGAAGCAAAGATTTTCTTAAATAAAGAAATTTGCTTCAAGCAGTGGCTTTGTAGTTTGTGGTTTTCCTTTATAATGCTTTATATATATACTTACATATATGTACATAAACATAAACTTCAAAGGAATAACTTGCAGAAACTAGCTTCTGGCTCATCATGTACTCTAGTAGATCATTGCAACAGAATGTTATTAGGTACCCTGCCCCCCAACAATGAGAATGACTGACACCAATTCTCTCTGCTAATTGGGGATTTACAAATGTGTGCAACTGGATCTTTAGTAGGACTTGTCAGGAAATGAAGATTAAAAAAACCCACAAAAATAACTGTTAGTAAAGATTAACTCACATGTAAACACCCAATTCAGAGCGGGCCAAATCTGAACTGTCTGCTCCATCTTGAATTTGCAGCCAGAGGAATTGAAGGCATTACAACAGCTTTAAACAGCTAATGTCTGAGGGAAGAATCTATCCACATATCACAAATCTGCTGGTCCAGGTCTAAGCATGGCTCTTGTTATTCTGGTATCTGAAGCATGATCACAAGGCTGCCTTATGAGTGAATAGACCGTGGGAGCCCATGTGTTGATGGCTGGTGGTTTTATTGATGTTTGGGGGTCATTGCTCTTGCAAAACCATCTGGACAGGGTGCTGAATTTCGCTCTGGAAGTTTATCAGTTGCCCTGGCAGAAGCATAGAGGTGCTGCTCTGCAGCAAAAAATATAGGGCTGAGTTGACCCTGAGCATCAGCATTCAGTGTGACACTGGTGCTGCTTCTTCCTTCTCAGTGCCCAGTTGAAGACTTATACACCATTGACATCCAAAGATGAGGTAAGTTTCTTAACAGATTGGTTTTAAAATAAGTCAGTGACACTCACAGATTTAATAGTTATTCCTGGGATCCAATCTCACAGTTTCAAGGTTGGATATTGCTTTAAAAAGCTTTTTGAAGAACACTGTTTCAAAAGGCAATAGAGTAAAATTTTAAATCAAAAGTATTCAGCATACATTTAAAAAACAAATCCAGCATCCAAAAGTTTATGGGAATGACTAATTCTGTTTTGAACAAAATTTCTGGAGATGGCATTCTCAGAAATTTTTAAAAATGCAATATCTCAAATAATTTAGAAGGAAATAAAGATAACATGCTCTAGATACTGTTAGATGACTCGAAAATAGTTCAAGTGATGATAAAGATGGTGCTATTAACATTGTATGTGAAGAGCCTAAATAAATGGTTTCATGCAATGTAAAGGCAGAAAAATAAGCAGCATTAAAAAATTATGTTATTTTTCATTTATGTAATTTTATATAATATGTAATTTAAAATATTTATATAAAATGAATAAAATTCATGCTTATGAAGTTTTTAAACTATTTCATCTATATCCCTAAAAAGCTAACTAATCAAGGTAGCCAAAATCTTTTTATTTGGAGGTTCTTCTCATAGAAAAAAATGGAGATCATTTTATATTTGGCATCATCTTCTAATTCAGCGTATTTGCTTCTTTCATGCCTTTTGTGTTTTCCAGAGCCCAGTCAGGGAAGAGCATTCTACCAGTGACAGTGCTAATAATTGTCCCCTGTCAAGCTTTGTTCAGGCAAAGAAGGGCATGCATTGTCTTTGAATTAAAAACAATAATAAAAGCAACCAAAATGTGGTCCTGCTTTCATGATCACCATATGCTGGCAATTCTAATATCAGTGGTAAGTATTTCTCCACTGGGGATGACCTCTTTTGCTGACTCTCTCTACCCCACCTTATGTCACTGGCCCCTTTTGTTTTTGAAGAAACAGCATAAGTCCTTGCTGAGAAGAAAAAGAAGATGACAATAATCATAGTTTTTCATGCAATTAAGTTTTGCCAAACTGTTCCTAGAGTAAGTAAGAATTCAATTGCAATTTATCAGAAACTGAATGGAAATTAGTATGGAAATCAGGAGACCCAAGAAAGCTGTTTCTGTCACTAATCAGCAATGAAGCTTTGTGTAAGGCATTTCACCTTTCTGTACCCTACTGATTTCTATATTTTTTTAAAAAAAGAGGGAATAAAGAGCATTGGCCTTGTTGATTTATAAAATTACTCCCAATTCTCAGCTTCTGGACACTGATGTAGGATTTATAGTGTACAAAACACTAGACTTGTTATAAGAAGACCTAGCTTGTGGTGCTGCTCTGTTCCTAATTAATGTGATCTTAGAGAATTAACATAACTGGCCCTAGTTTTGTAAGTTACAGTCCAAGCCACCTCCTGTATCTCAGCACTTTCTGCCTCCTCTCCCATGCCACGTATTTTGTACTTGATATTCCAGTAAAATCTTATTTTTAAAAAATAGTTTCTGTAATTCAATTTTTTTATGTTAGCTCTGCCCATTTGTTTTCTATTGGATATGAAGGGAAAAATCCATTCATTTTGTGCAGAGAATTTTAAAGCATATATGTATGTATTTTTTTTTTAATTTTATTTATTTATTTATTTTTAATTGTATTTGGGCTCTGGGGTACATGTGCATGTCCTGCATCCTGCAGGATTTTTGCATAGGTACATACATGCCATAGTGGTTTACTGTCTCCATCCCCCACCCGTTGCCTACATCAGGCATTTCTCCTCGTGTTATCCCTCCCCATACACCCCACCCGCACCCCTACTGTCCCTCTCCCACCCCACCCTACCACCTAGCCCTGTGAATGTTGCTCCATTCCCTCTGCCCAAGTGTTTTTATTGTTCATCACCTGCCTATGAGTGAAAACATGCTGTGTTTGGTTTTCTGTTCTTGTGTCAGTTTGCTACGAATGATGGTTTCTAGGTTCATCTATGTCTCTACAAAGGACATGAACTCATTTTTTATGGCTGCATAGCATTCCATGGTATATATGTGCCACATTTTCCCTGTCCAGTCTATCATTGATGGACATTTGGGTTGGTTCCAGGTGTTTGCTATTGTAAACAGTGCTGCAATGAACATTCGTGTGCAGGTGTCCTTATAGTAGAACGATTTATAATCCTTTGGATATATACCCAGTAATGGGATTGCTGGGTCAAATGGAATTTCTATTTCTAGGTCCTTGAGGAATCGCCACACTGTCTTCCACAATGGTTGAACTAATTTACACTCCCACAAACAATGTAAAAGTGTTCCTATTTCTCCACATCCTCTCCAGCATCTGTTGTCTTCAGATTTTTTAATGATCGCCATTCTAACTGGCGTGAGATGGTATCTCAATGTAGTTTTGATTTGNATTTGCATTTCTCTAATGACCAATGATGATGAGAATTTATTCATATGTTTGTTGGCTGCATATTTGTCTTCTTTTGAAAAGTGTCTGTTCATGTCCTTCATCCACTTTTGAATGGGTTTGTTTGTTTGTTTTCTTGTAAATCTGCTTTAGTTCTTTATAGATTCTGGATTTTGTCTGATGGGTAGATGCAAAAATTTTTTCCCATTCTGTTGGTTGCTGGTTTACTCTAATGGTTGTTTCTTTTGCTGTGCAGAAGCTCTTAAGTTTAATTAGGTCCCATTTGTCTATTTTGGCCTTTGTTGCCATTGCTTTTGGTGTTTTGGTCATGAAGTCCTTGCCTGTGCCTATGTCCTGAATGGTTTTGCCTATGTTTTCTTCTAAGGTTTTTATGGTGTTAGTTCTTATGTTTAAATCTTTAATCCATCTGGAGTTAATTTCTGTATAAGGTGTAAGGAAGGGGTTCAGTTCCAGCTTCCTGCATATGGCTAGCCGGTTTTCCCAACATCATTTGTTAAAGAGGGAATCCTTTCCCCATTTAAAGCATATATATTTTTGATATAAAGATATTTGGTGACACCATTGAAATAGGTACATTTGGATGAATGTTTGTATAATTTTAAAAAAATATTCCTTTCCCCATTTTATCATTTTGCAGTTCCCTTAAGATTCAGCCTCTTTCATCACCATAACAACCCATAATTCATGACAAATATAATCATTATTAGGAAGGACAGGAGGAACAAGCCTGCCAATCTTTGCATACATTAAAAAAAAACTAGATAACCTTTATTTAGATCATTCAGCTATGCTGGATACAAAGCCTCCGCATGAACCATTAACATTTCTAATTAGGGCCTCGGATTTTTTGACATCTTGGCACAAAGGCTATCTCTGGGATCTTTTTTATCTTTTCATGCTAATTTGGTAAACGAGCACCAAATTACACAAATCCTACAAGGGTAAGAGTGAAGGTAAAATAGTTTAAACCAAAGGGGAGGCAATACTGTATAGTGATTAGGGGCATGGACTCTTGACTAGAGAGCTTGGGTTCACATCTTAGCTCTGGTGTTTGTTAGCTGCATCTTAGGCGAGTTACTATACCACTCTGGGCCCAAGTTTTCTCAACTATAAAATGAGAATAATAATATTTCCTACCTCACAGGGTTGCCTTGAGAACTAAATAAGCTAAAAGAAGGGAAGCACTTACAGCTGTACTTGTACTAATGCTCAGTACATATTAGCTATTGTTATTATTATAGGTTTTCTATGGATAGTCTTGTTTGCTAGGTATAGACTCTATGATGTTAGGAGGCTGTAACGGTTGTTAGGTTCTCCACCAGAAAATAGCTGGGCAAGACACATTAGATATGGCAAATTTGATTCCAAATCTGGCCTCTTTGGCAAGATTCCTGTACAGCTCACCTATTTGGACTGCAGTCCTCTTCATACACCATGCTACAGTATACCCTCTGTATACCAACCATTTGGATATTTAACTAGTACCTCCCGTTCAAGACTCAGATCAGAGATTAGGTCTTCTAGGAAAACTCCCATGATTGTTCTCCTAAACACCGCTTCCCTACATTCACCATCACCATCACCACGCTAAGCAATATGCTTCCCCTATGTGCTCTGATAGCCATAAGAGCACACCTCCACCATTACTATCTTTATCTTACATCAAAGTTATGTGTTTATGTTTTGGCCTACCTGGATAGACTATAATATTTTTGGAAGGCAGGCACCATATCATCTCCCTATTTATAACTCTAGTGCTTATTACAGTACTAAGTTTATAGTTTGTACAGATGTGAGAGAGTGGAAAAGGGAGCCCAGTGCCTGGGTAATTGGAGATACTAGGAATGGAAGTAAGGAATACAAGAAGGTCAGTAGGTTTGGGTAGGGGAAATAAAGACTTTAGGTGAGGGCATTTAATTGAAGGCTTCTACAGAGCATCCATTGTGGAAAATAAAGATTGGAATTAAGGAAAAGTCAGGCTTAGAAAGGCTAAATATGAGAGTCACCAAACATATGTGAGATTTGAAATCTTGGGAATGATGATTTTCTAGTTAGAGAATATGGATTAAAAAAAAAAAAAAGCCAAGAAAAGAATCCTAGGGAATATCTACATTCAACAAGCAGAAATCAGATATGAAGAATGAGAAGGACTAGAAACAGAGAAAGAGAAAAACCGGGATATAAAATGTTCCAGAAGCCAGAGAGTGGTGAGATTTAAAGGAGTGTTCAACAGTATCAAAGGGTTAGTTATTAATTAATCAAAAATTAATTGAACATCAAATCTGTGCTAGGTATTTACTAAGTGCTGAGATAAAATGGTCACGAGATCTCTGTTCTTACAAGAAGTTAAGTAGTATGAGGAGTGGGATGAGGAGTGGTTAAGAGATGCAATAAATTTGTGGAAATCAGCTTGCAATACTAAGGAGGAAACAGGAGGTGAGAAATGATCAAGAACAAAGGTTGTCTGCTATGTTAAACAGTTTGGAAATTATGGGAAGGAGAGAAAATGGTTGCTTGAAGAAAAGCTTAAAGATTTTTGTTTTGTATTTATTAAATTGTTTGCCCTTTTAGAATGGAGAGACGTGAGCTATTTCTAGGCTGAAGAGAAACAGGCAGGGAGCACGCAGAGAAGAGAGAACAAAAGGGGAGGATGAGATCAGAAGTCATTAGCCTTGGGACAGAGGTCCCTTCTGAGGCAGAAACTGTGAGGACAGTGTGAGAATGCTAAATTGTGAGACAAGGGAATGAGAAATCCAGAGAGCTCATATTGGATAGATGCATCCAGCTACTCTGAAAAACAGGGAACTGGGCTGCCTGTAGAGAGTGAGGGCAAGGTGCAGGTTCAGAAAGAAACAATGAGCTTTGGAATAACAACTTTTGGTTGGGACCCTCCCCTAGGGACAATCACGGAGCATCACTGAGATCGGACAGGCCAGACTGTGAAGTGGACCAAATGGGCATTGCTAGTCACAGAAATGGTGGTTTAAACATGAAAAAAAAAGAAGAGGTAAGAAGCCAAAAGCATATTAAGAAATGTGCATTTTGTAGATACACTTGAAGTTGTTTTGTTCTAGATCCCAACAGTATGAAATTCAGAGCTGTCAGTTTATTTTTAGAAATGGAAATGCCATTCCTGAGGCTAATGAACTGTACCAAAACAAGATCCAATTGTGGGTTCTGGCTGCAGGCAGTAACTACAGAGTGCTGACTCCAAGGACAAACTACTTTTGAAGGCTGAGTTATAATGAAGCGGAACGTGAACCAGGCGCAGATCTAGCCATAGGAAGAACATGCTTCCCTTGGTGCTGAGATTTGTGGAAGGAACCCCTTCTGGCATGAATGATTCAAAATTGTATTCTGCAAGTAGATAATTCCCTCTGCTCCTTTTCTTGCTGTGTAGCCTCAAACAGTTCAAACATGGGTATCTTATTTCTGTGTCAAAATCATGCTGAGTCCTAGAAGACGGGTGTAAATGTTGTGGGGGGCACTCTTCCATGTTCTTTTCTCATGCCTGATGAGCTCAGTTACCTCCTCTCCCAAGGTGTCAATGTGATTGATCCTTGGGCCATACAGATGGCCTCCAACTTACAATGGTTTGACTTAGGATTTTTCAACTTTACAATGGTATGAAAGCATTGCCAACTCAATAGAAACCATACTTCAAGTACCCATACAGCCATCCTATTTTTCACTTTTAGTACAGCACTCAGTAAATTACCTGAGATATTTAACACTTTGTTATAAAGCAGATGTTGTGTTAGATGATTTCACCCAACTGCAGGCTAATATAAGTGCTCTGAGGATGTTTAAGTTAGGCTAGGCTAAGCTATGATGTTTGGTAGGTGAGGTATGCTAATTGTGTTTTCCACTTACGATATTACTGACTTACAATGGGTTTATTGGGACGTGACTCCATCATAAGTTGGGGAGAAACTGTATTTGGTTATGGGCTGGATCACTGTGTCAGTACTTCCTTGTTCAAAGTAAACCCAAGGTTTCTGTTCTCCCTCTTCCGTCTCTGGAAATGATCAGGTCAATAAGCCCGGGTTAATTCTTCAGGACCTACCATCTAAATTGGAGGGGAAAGAAAGCACAAAACCTCTCCAAGGCTTTCAGGATTAAGATGTATCCTCTAACCCCAGTTTTACAAAAGAGCTTTACCTTTTTTCTTTTGCTATTACTGGGAGAAAGAGACACTGGCGTTTTGTTTCTCATTTGGCTATTTTTTCTTGCATATACCTCTCTTAGCTGGGAATTGTGTGGAGAGGAATAGAGTAAAGGATAGCTGTTATTTGGTTTGATGAGAACATTGGGAAGAGAGAAGTGGCCTTTTTCTTCTGAGGCCAGGAGCTGTAAGAAAAATGCTTTCCAGAGATCGACATTAATACCGGGGAAGCAGAACAAGGGAAAGAAAGAACAGGAAGGATCTTTTAGGATATTGTTTTGAACATCTGCTCCTGTTTTGCCTGAGTGCAGACCAAATCCTGAACTTTTCATTACACAAACCAACATATTCCTATTTTTTCCCTCAGAGGAATCTGAGTTGGCTTCTTGTCACTTACTTTGAAAGAATCCTGAATGAAACAAGAAATGATTGGCAAGGCTGAATCTGGGTATGTTTAGGTCTCCTGCTGTAATATCACTTTCTCAAATCATTGAAACCTCACTGCTGTGTTACAAGCCTAGAAGCCATTTTCTTTATGTAAATATAGACATTAACTTAAAATAATATCTTTTGAACAGGAGGGTTGCAACACATGGGAAGGGGCCTGGAGAAGTGGATAGAATCTTTCCCCCTGGTGAGCGCTAAGAATAAGATACAGACAGCCTTGGATGGTTTAAATGCTATCCTGTCTAGAAGCAGGAGGGAGAAGGGAGCAGATCGTCACAACCCAGCAGTGTCAGAAGTTTCCCACTGTGTTGTCAGAAATGAGTAGAGCCAGTTTAGCCCACGTTGAGGGAAATTTGCTACTGACTACTTCTTACATGCCCATCTTTTTTTGTTCATTTTTTTGCTTCCTGGCTTTTTGATAAGGAATTTACGCATTCTCCTGAAGTAGCTTATGACCATTTTGATAATGAATCTAGCGTTTTTCTCTCACTTAAGTTCAGATAAAATAAAAACCCAAAGCAAAATACTTACGGTGTATTTATTACATGTCAGAGACATTTACATGCATGACTCTACTCAATCCTTCTCATTATGTCTATTTTAAAAAGGAAGAAACAGAGGTTTTTAGATGTTAAGAAACTTGTTCAAGGTCACTTGGCAGAGCTGAAATTCAAACTGAAATCTGTCCCTACAACCCCTGTTCTGAACTGTTAAGCCTTCCTATGTTTTCAATAACCATTATGTGCTAAGACACAGAAGTATCAGAGTAGTTCTTAGCTTTACTAAATTTTCCCGTCTTTTCAGGGTTATCCTTTGCTTAAATGTCCAGTAAAATAATTTAACTTGTATCCCATGCTTCTGCAGTAACCCAAGTGTTTCTGCCAACAAGGAAGTTGAGGTTTACTTTGAATAGAGGAGTCTTGCCTTTTCCTCATAGTCACAGTATTCTAGGGCACAACTTGGGATCCATCTCCATTCTCAGAGGCACACTTACATTGGTTTCCAGAATTTAAAATTCTGTAAGTATATCAGAAGGAAAGTAGAATCCAGGGCAGGATGTTTTAAGCTCAGTGTCGGCTATTGCTGTATTTGAGACCCACGGCCAGGCTCATCCCTGGAACCCACACTGACACCTCTCTCCCTGAGCCTTGAGTGCCCTTGGGATTTTCATCTTCCCATTCACCTGCAGCATAGTGTCTGCCCCAAACCAGATTTCCCAGCTAACCAGGGAAAACCAGAAATCCCTTAAATTAGTTGGAGCAGTGCCACATCCTGCCCACGGGACAGCCTTTCACACTATTACTGTTTTAGTCTAAAGTATCTGCATTTGGATTACTTCACCAAAAATCCAAAGTTACAGCATCAACAAGGAAAAGAGACTATAAATGGCGACTGTGAACAACTAGTAATCACCAAACCAATCCCTGCCTTCACTCAAAACAAAGTTTCCTCTTATGATAAATTGGTAATGCAATCTTGAGAACAATGCGAAAGTTTTTTTATTTTTTCAAGTTTTTGACTTATCATTTTGTTCTTCCTTCCAGCCAGCAGGTATTCAAAATCCTTTGGTCCTATCACTGATGGTCCTGGCCTTAGGGAGCCTATAGTTTTGGTAGGTATCTGATATATGAATCTTGTGATATTTTCCAGCCATCTAGTTTCCCTTTTTTTTTTTTTTTTTTTTTTTTTTTTTTTTTTTTGATTCTGTTTCTGTTGAGGCCTTGGCTCTTCACTTTCACTGAAGGTTAGCTTCCTCTTGAACTGTCCTCAGTCTCCAGGGCTACCTCTTCTAATCCCTTCTCAATCCCAAGCCCCCCAGTCTATGGAGCTTCACAACTCTTTTCTGGCTTCTGCTTTCCTAGTGCAATAGTTCCCAGCCAGAGAAGCACATCAGAAACACTTGTTGAGTTTACACAGGTTCTAGATGCTCTGATGCTCTTCCCCAGAAAGTTCTGACTCAGTAGGTCTGGGATAGAGCCTGACATCTGCATATGTGTGAAGAGGCACAGGTATGTAGCAGGTTGACCCTCAGATACTAGGAGCACACTTTCTGGGTCAACATAGATGATGCCACATCATTATAATTAGAATGGATTGAAGAACTTACCTACTTCACTCTCCGTTTAAAGTTAAGAAGCCTGAAGTTCAGATGTGCTAATTTAAGATTAGTTCAAGGCGATACAGTTAGTAAATGACAGAGCCAGGATTGGAACTCAGGCTTTCTGACCACCAAATTCAAGGATTATTTTTTTCAATATCACATGTTCTCTCTCAAAGTACTATTGGAAGAAGTTAGATAAAGTTAAATGGGAGTACATTTCTCTCTTCACTACCAATCCTAAATGTCCTTGCCAATGCTCTCCTTGCAACTAAGTTTGGTACTCAAAGCACTTAGGAAAAACTCAAGCACAATATTGTATAAGCATGCCTCATGGAAATTGTGCATTTTGAGACTTTAATTAGAAAAGATAGGACATGTTTTAAAAATTAAATCACTGTTTTGATTTACTGAGAAACAAAGTCTTTTGTACATCGACCCTCTTTAGTATTGCCATATAATAGAGAAGCTTATGTTTTGCCTTTCTTCTGCTCTAGCTTTGCTTTCATATGAAAGCCTCAATAAGACATGAGATAGAAAGATTTAAAACAGGAAATTCAATATTCAGATATCTTAAGATGCAGCCAGGTGAGTAATTTAGCTATCTAAAGCAGAGCAAAGAGCTCTTAATCATCAAGTGAAATTCTCAAGATTCTTAATTTTTTATTTTTGTACCTGTGTAAATCAGGTTTCTCTGACCCTTAAAGGGTAAGATCTGCTAAACTATGCTGTGGCAATTCACCAGGGAGGTGTGTGTGTGTTGGGGCAGGGGGAAGTTCTTAGGGAGTGGGCATGGTGACATATTGTTCACTTATATTTCATTATTCTCAAACAGTCTCATGTAAATATTTTCTTCTGAAATGTTCAATAGCCTTAAAATGCAGGTAAAGCAGGAATATTAGAAAACATGAGATTCAGCATTATTGTATCCTCCAATAAGCCCTAATTTGAATACACTTTTGATGCTGCAAAAGTAACCATGAACACAATTTATATAAATTTTGCTTCCAACACAATCAGGGAGAGGAAATTGGGACATGGACTTTCCCTCCCTCCCTCCCTTCCTCCCTCCTTCCTTCCTTCCTCCCATTTTTGTTTTGTTTTGTTTTTTTTGAGAAACAATCTGGTTCTATTACCCAGGCCAGAGTGCATTGTCATGATCTTAGCTCACTGCAACCTCCACATCCTGGGCTCAAGCCATCCTCCTACCTCAGCCTTTCAAGTAGCTGGGACTACAGATGTGCACCACAATGCCTGGCTAATTTTTGTATTTTTGTTGGTAGAGGCTGGGTTTTGCCATGTTGTCCAGGCTGGTCTCAAACTCCTGGCCTCAAGCAATTCACCCACCTCATCCCCCTAAAATGCTGAGATTACAGGGACTCTAATTGTTATCTCATATTTCCAGTTAGTTACAGGGAGAATGATTAGAGATACTATGGTAAGATAAAGAGCAATGTAGGCACTTTTTAGGATGGAAGTAGGAGCAGTCCACCCAAAGTCAAAGGTACTTCTCGTCATCTCCTTGCACCATCATCATCTTCAAATATTTTGTAAAGACCATATCTGAGCTGGGATGTTCTAGGATCTAGGGATCCATAACCATGTGAGATTATGATTTCTTATCTGGTTGAGAGGTAGGGATTACATGTAATCATACTGATAAAAGCAAAATAAATGCATGAGAAGAACTAATGCAGGTTTTCCTTCTGGTATAGGGGTTTAACAGGATTTATCAAAGGTGTCCAGGACATATCAGAATGTGAGAGGCAGGCTGACTGTTGGGGAACTATTGCAGTAATATAGCTGCCGGCTGCCAAGGATGTGGCTCAGAGGAAAGGATGGGAGCAGCAACCATTGTTCAGGGAGATTCTCTGGATAAAGTAAGGCACAATACTCTTAATTTGTTGTAGTAATATATACACAGTCTCTAATATTACCACACAATAAAAGAGAAATTAATTCTTAGAAAATGACTACTGGGGATAAAACTGAAAAATGATTTCAAAAGTCCTACAGACATTTCTTATAACATACATTCTAGATAGTAGCCTGGCAACAGCATACTTATTACTGTTTGGCTAATATATGGGGAGAAAGAAGAGATCAGGTGATTTGAATCACTTTGTCAAAACTGAGCTATTATACTTGCTAATGAAAGACAGTACAGGATTCAGTCCTCTTGCTCATTGAATTGAACAAAGCCAACCAATTCTGAGCACAAGAATACAGGGCTGCCTTTTTATACTCATTAATCAATTCTCTATTGAACTTATATATTTGTGTAGCTCAGGCTAAGTGAAGAGGCTTGTATCTTGGTAACTGAAAGGTGGGAATTGTATTTTGAGATTAAAAGTGATCGCTCATCTTAGACTTATACATTTTAGGTAGGAAGACTAGGTAGCATCTGGTACCCCTCTCATTTTTTGGACACAAAGATTTGAGGTCAGGAGAAGCTGTTCTTTCCCAAAGCCACAGCATCTATTAGTTTGACAGAGACATTAGCTATGGGTGGGTCTGAGGTCCTTTGAATCCCAGGCATATTTTCTAGTCATTTTTCTGGAGCCCATGCTAGTTTTGTTCTGTAGCAGTAGTTGAGTGACTTCCATTCTTACTCTCCTTGATTTTTGCTTTTCAAAATCTTCAAGCACATGGGACAATTTCTTGTCTCAGATGCTGATCTTCTGTGAAAGGTACTGCACTTATTCATGAATATTGCATTTATTTTATGAATAATTATTCCTGGCTACCATGTTTTAGGCACTGAGCTAACTATTGTCTGTATACCATGATGAATAAGTCAGGCATAGTTCTGCCTTCAGGTAGCCTGCAATACAGTTTTGGGCACTGATGTTAAACAAACACATATTTCATTATGTCCTATGGAAAAAAAAAGTATAAGTGTTTTTGTTTGTTTGTTAGTATTTTTGAGATGGACTTTCGCTCTTTCACTGAAGCTGAAGTGAAGTGGTGCTATTTCGGCTCACTGCAACCTCCATCTCCCAGGTTCAAGTGATTCCCCTGCCTCAACCTCCCGAGTAGCTGAGTTTATAGGTACCTGCCATCGTGCCAGATAACTTTTGTATTTTTAGTAGAGACAAGGTTTTGCCATGTCAGCCAGGCTGGTCTCGAACTCCTGACTTCAGGTGATCCACCTGCCTTGGCCTCCTAGAGTGCTAGGATTACAGGTGTGAGCCACTGTGCCTGGCCAAAAAAGTATAGTATATTTTGAGAGAAAGGATAAGGAAATCTAAATTAATTGGGGAGGAAGGAAGGTCTTGGATAAATTATTCAATATGAGATTTGAAAGTTAAGTAGGAGCCAGCTAAAATAACAAATAGAGTGAAGAGTGCTTTAGTCAGAGGGAGCACATGCATGTAGGAAACTCATGAGGCTGGGGGAGAACTTGAAGTGTTGAAAAAGTGGCAGCAAAGCCATTTTTTTCCCCAGGGCTTCCCTTGGAGCTGCCAAAAAAAAAAAAAAAAAAAAGAAGTTTGAAGTAGAATGAAGGAGATGAGTGTAATTCAAAACAGTGGGTGTTTTTTGTTCTGTTTTGGTTTTTAGAGATGAACCATTTATCAACGAACTTCTTTGATTAGGTTTATTCTTTTATTTAAACTCAGCCTTGTTTTCAGAAAGAGATAAGGTAGCATCTTGTTAGTAATAGAAAGACTTCACTGCATTGCAGTCTTCCTGTGGTGATTGTTACATGAATCAGAAATAAGGCTGTTTATTGACATTGTGCCATGTGGCCTACGCTTTGAATTAGTCTGACTTCTGATTTAGTTTACTTCATTTTGCCTTCAATCCAAATTATGCTCAATTTCTATGAATGTTTGGATCTATATGAAAGTCATAGTATGGAAAATGAAGTCAGAAAGCCATAGAAATTTAGATGAAAGAACAAAGAAATTATTATTTGATTTTTATGACAGCTTTCTTCAGAACTCTCTAAGAAGCATTTATTTTCGATTTGCTCTGATGTTAAGTAACAAGAACAGGGAAAATTGATGATGTATTTTTCTATTTATTGTTATAACTTCAATTTATTTTTCTTGAGTTGTGCTTTTCCCTTCATAGAATATGTACTATATGGGAAAAAAAAGAGAGTCCTCAAGAGAAACCTTGTCCTGGGAGCCAGGGCACAGGTCTAGCCCAAGATTCCACTTATCTCTGAGCACAGAATCTCCAGTGATAGACCTACTGGCTGGGGAGAATTTTATTGAAAGTGGAGGTAGGAGATTAGACTTGTTTTTTAAATTGTGTAGGATTCAGACAGAATGGAAACGGCTGGAGAAAAGCATACAACTAAGCTGACTGACAGGTCTGTCTTAATCAGTAATTTCGAGAGTGGCTCTTAGAGGATTCAGAAATCTTGTTACATTCCCACATGAATTCACTCTTTCTATCTCCAACACAAATATTTCTCACTGCTTTTTCTTTCCTTAAACCTTTACTATTTCCTATTTTTTAAATTCTTATTTAAAGCCAGGTCTTTAAATTTTTTTTAAAATTTAAAACTTGTAAAATTTTAAATTTTACAAGAATTTAAAAATCATATTATTTATTCTGCAGTAGCAGCAATCAAGAAAGAACTTGTTTTTCCACCAACAGCCTACCAGGCCCCACACCCGTGTATTCTATATTAAAGTTAAAATGAATGAACTATTGGTGCTTCTTTCTAAAAACAGCTCTCCGCTTGTGCACTAGATTTCATCCCCTTTGGCTACTTTGGCCCACACGGGATGTGACTCCCATAAATACGTCCCCCTTTCCCGTTATCCCTATTCCTCTTTTTGGCACCATTCCAAATTGTTGGAGATATTCATGACATTGAAAGCACAAAAGATAAAATGCTGGAAGGTAATCCAATCTTGGAAACTGAGTATGACAATTTGCCAAGGCAGAGAAAAGATGCTCGCTTCCTACAGCAGGCTATGCAACCAGAAGGCAAGCACTGTTCAGGCTACTCTTGATTTTTTTTAGCAGAGGAAATAAAACCCTTTAATTCTCAATTTGTCTAATGTTTTAAAATACAGTTTGCTGATTAAATATTAGTTTCAGTTCTTTTCCATTTCACCACATATTTGTAGCTAGCAGTAAGAAGTTTATAATGTTTTGAAAAAAATTTTTAAAAATTCATTCAACTGGTATTTATTGAGAATTCCATATGCATTCTCAGAAAATGCACAATCTTACAAGAAAAACAATTAAAAAGTAATTACCATATGATGTAATAAAAATGAGAAACGTAGAGTCATCTGTGAGCAGATTGCAGATAGCAGATATTAAATCTTTCTGAGGGGAGGAAAGTGTCAGAAAGGAAGTGACACTAAATGTATGGGCAGAGATGCTCTAAATCTTCCTCAAGGCTGTTGAGGGGTAGCCTTGTTTGATCTGGGAAGCTGCCAGTACCATCATGTTCTTAGTTGCCTTGGGCTGCCACCACCATGAAATACAGAATACCAGTTTATTTATTCAGTCACTTTACAGTTCTTGAGCAATAATATAATCCAGTGCCCTAGGCTCTGGGTGTTCAGTTATAAACCAAATAAGCAAAACACCTGCTCTCATGGCAACTTATATTCTAGTAGGGATAAGCAGATATTGAATAAATAAACAAAAAGAGATGCATTAGGTGTTATGGAAAAAAATGAAGCTTAATAAGATGATAAGAGTGTATGTTCTCATATATGTGTGTGCCTGTATACTATTTTTTTTTTTTTAAAAGTTGACTTTAAGCTCTGGGATACATGTGTAGAACATGCAGGTTTGTCACATAGGTATATATGTGCCACTGTGGTTTGCTGCACCTATCAACCCATCACCTAGGTTTTAAGCCCCGCGTGCATTAGGTATTTGTCCTAATGCCCTTGCCCCCCAGCCCCTGAACAGGCCCAGTGTGTGATGTTCCACTGTCTGTGCCCATGTGTTCTCATTGTTCAGCTCCCACTTATGAGTGAGAGCATGCAGTGTTTGGTTTGGTTTTTTCCTAAGAGTGTTGGTATAAGGAGTGCTTAATTTTGTCAGCCAAGTACAGAATGGAAGGAAATTTGAAATTCTGGAGAGTGTTGAGGGCTGTCATTTTTTATTGGGCCATTGAACTGAGCTTGCTATTACAGGATAAAATTGGTAAATTTTAAGCATAAAAGATTCATGATAATTCATGAAGGAAATTTCTTTCTCAGAGGACAGTTTCTTTTTATTGCCACAAATTGTACTTAAAAGCTTTCATTTGCCATATTCTTTGAAGTGGTGAAAGACTGTATGTAGGAGTTGATGCTGGAGAAGATGTAGACAGATCCCAGTGATAGGTAGATAGATATAGCATGTGTTGTTTTCAGTTTTTGCATGCAGATTCTTAGAGTGGTCTGTAGGTAGAATTTGGGTTGTTTTATAAAAGTCACAGAACACGTGAATTAAAATGCTCCTATGATCGCCACAACTCCCTCCCTGAGGTAAACTCTCTGCTGAAGGAAGTAATTTTGCTTTCCTGGCATGGCTAGTTAGAGAGCTCAATCTCCCTGGGATGAATGCAACCCTGTTTCTAGCAGTTCATTGGAATGGTCAAGAACATTCTGTCTTTCACAATGTTTCTGAGTGTATCACGGTTTCCAGTTCAAGGCCATACTCAATATGGAGGTTGCTCTGTTAATACCCAGAAGCCATGACTGCATTGTTTTGATTGCTCCAAATATCAATGGAACACCTATTGAGCTGTACCCTGGCTCTCCAGATATCCTTAGGGTTCAGCTACTGGTGAGTTATTCACAACACAGTAGTGTTGGAGGACAGGATAATTATACCCTCATACAGCAGATAACTGCTAATATATCCATGTTGCCCAGGCTCTCCTGTGCCTCTGACTCAGGCATGGAGTAAGGAAAGTGTGTGTTTCTTTTCTCCACAGTTGCTACCTCAACTTTCAGCCATGCTTACAGATGGTCCAGGGCAAATGTTTAGCTTTAATTCTGGTTGAAAATAAGCCATGTGGCAGGCCTGCACTGGCCCAGGCTCATGAAGCACTTTGGCAAATGGTTAGAGATTCCAGTTGGGAAATTAGACACAGGGATCCAGGGAAATAAGTTCCAGTGCAAGTAGGGGCTACTTCCCAAATAAACAGACCCTGTGTGGCTGCCATTCTCTCTTATCACCAGTTCTTTCTTCATTTTGGTGATTAACAATCAACCTCAGGGAAATGCCTCTGTCTTGGGCACTGGGCTTCCTGCCTAGGCTACTTATGCCATAGACACAGCTGATGCTGTGCCAGAGAGCAGCATCATAGTCAGCCTGTCACACTGGGGCTTTGCTGTCTGTGGTCACAGGAGCAGGCTACTGTCTGTTAGATTCCTGAAGTGCCCTTTTGTAACTTAAATGGTGGTCATGGGTATGGAGTGGCTAAAAAAATGCTAGAAGTCATGGATTTTTTTTTTTTTTTTTTTAATGACAGAAAAAGAAGTGTGATTTAGTGTTTCCCATGATGGCTTTTAAGCAGTGGTTTGCAAACCTGACCAACAGTCAGAATTACAAGAGGAGCTTAAATACACACATTCAGATTAGGTGTTTCTTGGCTGGGGACTGGGAATTCTTGACAGACTGATCGGGCAGCCACTGTTTTATGGGATAAGCATAGTCTAGTGTAGACCAAACAATTTGCCCAAGAGGGAGCAGGTTCCTGGTCATGGTAATAATAGGTCTATCTCAGAGCCAATATACATAGTCTTTGTTTTATAGCTTTTAAAATATTGAGGTTTGTTCATATAATCCAAGAGCAGATATAACCCTTCTTAGCCTTCACAGTTTGTGTAGCTGATTATATACACCTTTGACAGTTGCATTTGGCTCTAATATTTCACAGCTCCTTTAGAGCCTCAATAAATCACTTTGGCACACTGTGGGTGTATGTGGGAGGTAAGTCCATTTTCCTCCCAGATTCCTTCATCACTAAGCTCTGCGGGGGATGGATGAGGAGAGGAAAAGACTAAGGCACATAGCTGAGATCCAAGTGGGATAAATGAGTGGCAAGAAACTGAGAAGACAGAAG